CTCAGATTGGACCTAGAGTAAATGGTTTATACTCCAGAGGGCAAAAACTTTCAAAATTCGACGTTTTGCGGATAGTTTTTCTGTAATAACCTATGGCGTCATGCTTTTATTACGTTAATTTAACCGGAATCGCGTTTCTTTTGTGAAGATGCGTCAAATCAACCATGCGTTGAAATTCAATTTACAAAAATGATCTCAGGTCAAGCTCATAGAAAAGGTCAGGTTGTGCCTATCAGTCGATTCCTATCATTGAGCTAAACACATCGGTGTCTTTCAGCGTTCTATCATGTTTTATCTAAAGTCATTGTCAAAAACTGTTAACCCGCGCACCGACGGGGGGGGGCGGATATCCGCCCCCCCCTGAGGTTTTTCGCGGATAGCGGGAAAACCGCGGCGCGTAGCGCCGCGAAATTTGGTATGACTATTCTCTCATCAATTTTACACATGGTGTGCAAGTTTGAACCTCCTAACTTTTAAGGTCAGGTCACCAGGTCACTTTGAATGACCCAACCTCAAGTCACTTTTTTGCAAATTCGTCACCGTGCCAGAGCTACAGTAGATGTCGGAGGCCTTTGAAAGTCGCAGGATGTTATTAGGTCATTAGTAGCTACAATTTGCATATCTCGGAATTTTGATGTCGGTGACCTAAGGTCAGGTCAATTTCGCGACCTCCCCATTATAAGTCAATGGGGGAAAAATCAACTCCCTGTTTTTACCACTAAAACGGGTCGGAATGGCCCCATATACCATACATGACTTCACATACGATCAACCTTCACTACCTTGAGGTCTGTTTTGCTGTTGGGCAGCTGTAAGGTCATGTGACGTCATCAAAGGTCACCAAAGGTTTTTTGCCAATAACTCCTTACAGGAACAAGATACAGCCGCGCGGATGGTCTCATTGTGTTCAGCTCGTCAAGACGCATCGAATGATATACATGATGACCTCGAGGTCACGTGACCTGAGGTCAACCTTTGACCTTGACCTTTCGAGGTCAACATATATATCATTCGATGCGGATTGACGAGAGGATCACGATGATGCCCTTAGTTTGTTCCTATCTTGACTACTTCGAAAGTTATTCGAGAAAAACCCTCTCCATATCTAGCGCCGCCATTTTGACTTTTTCGACCCCTGTGACGTCATCTTTGACCTGACCTGAAAATGACCTTAGTAAAAATTGTAGACCTTGTCCGTGCGTATCCGACGCCGTTTACCGCTTGTCGCTATCTTGCTTCGTTCTCGAGATCTCAGGGGGGGGGGGGCGGTCATCCGCCCCCCCCCGTCGGTACTAAGTTGGCGCAGACCCCCGTCGGTGCGCGGGTTAACCCTCGCCGGCACCGGCCATTTTGCGTCCTTCGACGGCACAAGGGGGGGGGGGGGTACAACCCCCCTCGCGTTTCGCCCCTGATCAAGCTAGAGCTTCATGGAAAAAACGAACGTGCTGCCCGTCACGAGAGGAAACCGATTATATCCCATTTTTAAACCTCGCATGTGTGCGGCGTTTGCCAGCTTCTAACGTGTAGGGGGGTCGGTTGGACCCCCCCTTGCCGTTTGGCCCCTGATCGAGCTAGAGCGTCGCGGAAAAAAACGAGCGTGTTGCCCGTGACGAGAAAAAGCCGATGATGCCCAATTTTAAGGTTCTAGGTCATTGGTTGAAAGTCGCTGCTATGTTTTTTTTTGGGGGGGGGAGGATGCTGATCACGAATATCGTGTTACTTTTGATCACAGATGATGTCTTTAAGCATTTAGACCAGGTCAGGTCAGGTCAGGTCAGGTCAGGTCAACCAGTAGGGGTCGTGACGGATATTCGTAGTACCTGTCAACCGCCTCTGACAACTTCGTAACATGTTACGAAGGCACCAAAACTACTTCGTAAATGTGCAAATGCTCTCTAAATTCGAATTCATCTAAAAAAACTACCCTAGAAACATGTAAAATTCGAAAAAGTGAACCGAGGTCACCAAAGATCAATGACCTGACCTGACCTGACCTTCAGGTGACCTTGCCATCCACCCTATTGCATGGGAGCAACACCAAATCACATGTATGAACGTTTGAAACCACGAAAAGCTTGCAAACGCGCGGCTAATACGAGCCGACATACGCCGAATCGCGCTTCCGGCCAAACATGGTCTCGGAAAGTAGGTCACATGTCAACGGTCATTTTGGTCAGGGTTTTGAAATTTTCAGGGTAGATGTGAAATTGATCAATGCGAGGGTACTGAAAGTTTTGCCGCAATCGGCTGCTTTTTACGCGAGTTATTCGCGGAAAGCCTGGGGGGGGGGGGGTGGCGGGTGCATCAACTTCCCCCGTGCCGGCGAGGGTTACGGAGACGTATCATGATGTGAGATGACTTCAGTGGCATAAAATGGGTCAAGAGTGGAATTTTGTGATTCGGTGTGCCATATTCACCTGTATCCGCGGGTGCCATCGCTAAAAAGAGGAGCATTTTGACCTGACTTTATGATGTAACCAGGTGTCAACAATTCCAGATACGATACTACGAAATTCATAAGTTGTGCCAAGTTTTGCATCGCTGTGCGCCGCAGTTTCCGTTACAGACACACACAAACATTGGGAAGTGTGGCCAAACACCCCCCACCCCCACCCCACCCGGGAGAAAATAAACGATATAAATTGCTACAACTAATCTCACTGAGCTAAATGCGATCGTGACCACTTACAAGCTGAAGCATAATATTCAAGTCGACACAGAAAGACCAGCGATTCGCAGCAGGCCCCCTAGCCACAGATATGTGACTGTGAGCGATAAGGCAACCAGCGCGGCGCGTCCCTGACCCGGTCAAACGCGTCTGTAGCGAGTGTGAGGCCAGAGAGATATACTGTGCCGCTGAGCCTGGGTGTGAGGCGGCACAGTCTACCGTTGAGGCCAGAGGGATGTGCTGTGCCGCTGAGCCTGGGTGTGAGACGGCGCAGTCTACCGCTCCAGTCAAACGCTGGGTCGTCGGGGGGCGAACATCACTTAGTAGGTGAGTGTACATTTATCACCAGCACAGTGACTTGGGGTCACATATAACCATTACCATCGGATTCGGCGTGAAAAATAAGCCATAAAACATGTGTCGTACGCCCACGTAGCAGAAAGTGAAAACCGTGACCTTTCGTGACCTGACCTGACCTTGACCCGTACTTAGTATGACCCCTATACGCACATGGTACCTTCACTAGGTCTTTGAGGTCATTTTTGGTGAGTTTCGAGCAGCAGCTATCGATTCCGCTGTCCGTAAGTCTAATCATGCAAAACCCCTGAATTTGACCTTTGACCTGACTTTGACCCGAAAGTTGACCTCAATCTTAATATCTTAAGAGTGCTTTGGGAAGGTCTCGTAGAGACCTTTCGAACGCCGCCTCGCGGGGCTCGATACGACCATTGGTTCTCGAGATAACAGGGGGGGTCGGATCCGACCCCCCCAGGCTGTCGTGGGTACGGAAATAGCCCAGGCGGTGCCGGGGTAACCAAACCCGAGTTTCGTGGGCTTCAGTAAGCCTTTTAGAGTGCTGACGTTAAGATATTCTCGTGATTTTTCGTCTAGAGGGAGCTGATTATAGGCCAATTTGAGATCAACGTTTGAGTACACCGTACTCCCCTGGAGCTTTGCTGAGAGTTCTTTTAACCCGCGAGTTGCTGGGGGGGGCGTTAAACGCCCCCACTTTTTTCGCCGGGCCATAGCATAAAAACGGCGCGCCGCAGGCGCGCCAAATTTTGGGTACCTGTAGGGAATTGATTGAAGTTTATTGTGACAAAGTTTCAAAAAAATCGGTCGGAAAGTTTTTGAGATATCGAGGTTTTAGTGACGTCATGATTTCTGAGTTTTCGACCAAAAACGGCATATGTTCAAAAAATCATATAAAATCACAGAATAGACATAAAGACATGCCGTAATCGCCATTAGACTGCCAATACCATGAACAATCAAATGGCTATCTTCGATTATTGATTATCGTTCCGCATTTTCCAAAATCTTGAACTGAATCTTGGCAATTTATCGTGACTAGACTTCTTCACGACCATGACACATGCATTTCTTAAATTGAACTTTTTGGGCCAAACACGTACACATATGATAAAATGAATGTCACCATCGTGTTCTACGCCCCAAATTACCTATAAAACATGTGTCACAGGATGCGAATATCAGTTTTGATTTTCGGGGATATGTGCCTACCCGGTTGACCTGACCTTGACCCTGACCTATGCTTGACTGACCCCTACATGGAGCTGACACTCTTGTAGGCCTTATATGATGGATTGTGCACCGTTTTGACAGAGTTTACGACGAGAGGCGCCCATTGCGAAGTCCTGAAGTCCATGCCACTGAAAGCCCGATTTCAGGTGTTTGACCTGACCTTGACCCGACCTGTGACCTCAAAATTCAACTTAAAAGTACTCATCTGAAGCGTCTTGTCGCGCTCTTTCGTTTGCCGCCTCGTGCGTTTCGCTGCGCCTATTGGGTCTCGAGTTATCGGCTGGGGGCGTTTATACGCACCCCCCCCCCCCCCCCCCCCAGCAAACGGTGGGTGGCGAAATACCCCAGCAACTGCCGGGTTAATTAAAATGTGGTAAAGGATACTGCTCCACCGGAGCCGCTTTAAACTACCTTAGTAAAGTTGGGTTCATGTGGTGACCCTTGGTGACCTGACCTGTGACCTGACCTGGTATGACCAGCGACCTCTAATAGCAACATATGTACTAGACAACTGACGCCCTATCGCTAATTTTCCGGCAGAGGTGAATACAACTCAAAAGCTGTCACTTACGCAATGTCTAGCTGTCACCAATTTTTTACAAGTCATCTTGAAACAGTATGTACCATATTTTTTACGTTTTCTCATCACCTTTGTAGGCCTAATGAAATGAGGCCAGAATGTTAGAAAGAAACTGACCTTTCAAATTTCGGCCTCTGTACATTACAATGCATCACCACATTTCAGTGACACAACAACACAAAAATAAATTACTATCATCCAACTTACCTAAGGTCTGATCGACTTCCTAGCTCGTCCTGCCTTCCTGATCCAGTTCAATCAGAACTCACGAAAGGATTGTCAGTTGCCACTGATTCACTTGCCTTTGCTTCAGTAGTCAGAACCAATTATCAACGCTTATACCAAGTTTCCGGGACCGATGGTCATGGACCTCACCCCAGTTGTGGCCCAGATGTGACGTCCCCCGTCCCGTCGCCCGGTCCCTCCCTATCTCCGGCGGCGGCCAAGGCCGCGCCGGTCCCCGCCACCGCTCAACCGGCGACGAGCGGGAACGAGCTGTCGCGCTGTCGCCGTTTTTCCTGCGTTGTCTATGGCGCTTCATAACGCACCGGCTGTCGTACCGGCGGGATTTTTCAGCCGGAGCTGGCTACAAAGAGATGACGCTGTTAAATTTTTATGCCGTGGTCCATAGTTGCCCTCTGTGGGGAGACAGCTCTGATTTTAGCGGAAACGTCCTAGTTATCTATTTCAAGTGCATCATCTGAGATGTTCGAATCTGTCTCTTTATTCCTATGGCTGTCACCTACGCACACAGGCAAGTAGCAGCTTTTTTCACTTCTGAATTTTCGACAAAATGCGTTTTACTCGGTGTTATAGCGCTTTCCCTAGAAGCCCCGTGAACGGTGAAACATTTTATCTTTGACCTGACCTGTGACGTCATCGGTGACCCCGAGGTCAATGAAATTTGGTTTCGTTCAACAAATTGGACAGGGCTATCGAACGCCGTTTGAATTTTCCGGATCCGTCCGGTAGTTTCGGAGATACGGGAGGGGGGCCAAAAAATGCCCCCCCCCCCCACCGCGCGGAAGGTGGCCGGGAGGCGAGTTACCTAAGTGTGGAACTACAAGTCGATTCTAGGGCTCTGATTGGTGACTTTGGTCGGGGGATGACACTTATAGCATGACGTCACTCGCGTACTTGGCCGGACCAACGGCGCGGCGCAGGCGCGCCGAGCCAACCCAGAGGCTCTCAAACTCAATTGTACAGATCCTGCGCATTGAATGGCGAAACTTCGGCGAGTTCGCTTGAGTTTTGAAGCCCCTGCCAGAGAACTGGAGACGGCCGGATTATTTGCTGGACAGTGGGCAGCGCAGATGGCGATTGACGGTGCCAAAAAGATGATAGGGAAAAAGGGGTTGAGACTTGAGCAGTGAATTATAAGCCTGTTGCACAGCTGAGTGGTAAATTGTAAAATACTTAAGGTTTAAAGAGATGCAGTGTAGTTTAGCCGACTCGGGGGCATTCTGCCGAGTTATGTAATGCGGAATGGTCGCAACTCGCAAGTCGTTTGTTTACATGATTGCCTGATTAAAATGTAAAGCGTACCTAATGTTTAGTTGATAATACAGCGAGGTACTCGGCATCTGCTCAATCCATTTCTTCCCTGCAATAGTGCATTCGCACTGTAATTCATTGTAAGAGGCACTGGGCTGCGCCGCCTGTTAACCCTATTCCTGGCGGGCTCCGCCGGGACAAGAAACTGGCGGGGGGGGCCGATTCGGCCCCCCCCCCCCTGAGATCTCGAGAACGAAGCAAGATAGCGACAAGCGGTAAACGGCATCGGATACGCATGGACAAGGTCTACAATTTTTACTAAGGTCATTTTCAGGTCAGGTCAAAGATGACGTCACAGGGGTCGAAAAAGTCAAAATGGCGGCGCTAGATACGGAGAGAGTTTTTCTCAAATAACTTTCGAATTAGTCAAGATAGGAACAAACTAAGGGCATCATCGTGATCCTCTCGTCAATCCGCATCGAATGATATATATGTTGACCTCGAAAGGTCAAGGTCAAAGGTTGACCTCAGGTCACGTGACCTCGTGGTCATCATGTATATCATTCGATGCGTCTTGACGAGCTGAACACAATGAGACCATCCACGCGTCTGTATCTTGTTCCTGTACGGAGTTATTGGCCAAAAACCTTTGGTGACCTTTGATGACGTCACATGACCTCACAGCTGCCCAACAGCAAAACAGACCTCAAGGTAGTGAAGGTTGGTCGTATATGAAGTCATGTATGGTATATTGGGCCATTCCGACCCGTTTTAGTGGTAAAAACAGGGAGTTGATTTTTTCCCCCATTGACTTATAATGGGGAGGTCGCGCAACTGACCTGACCTTAGGTCACCGATATCAAAATTCCGAGATATACAAATTGCACATACTGGTACCCTAACTAAAGCCTGAAGAGAAGAAATTGATCGGTCAAAAACTCTAGCTCTGGCGTGATTGCAAACTTTTCTGAGGTAGGGTCACCAAACCGCCTCTGGTGACCTGACCTGAGGTCAGATCAACTCAAAATTTTCAGACATGTTGCGTAGAAGCCTTATAGGAAAAGTCAGAAAATTTGAGCTTCCTAGCTCAACGCGTTTGGGAGAAATAACCAAAAAACCTCAGGGGGGGGGCTCCTGAGGCCCCCCCCCCCCCCCCCCGCCAGGAATAGGGTTAATTATTCCGAAACCACCAGTGAATTGTCACAGTCACTCACAACAATACAAATCGTTCAGTCGTGCGCTGGGGGTCCGCCAAGTTTGAGTGTGCTGCAGAATGCAGACTGGACCGCCGAGAATATAACACTTCCGTCTCCCTGGGCGAGCGGCGCATTGGAGCCGAAGGAAACTGCTTCAGTTTTTTTTTTGTGGGGAAGATACCCATGTTTGAAAATTATGTTATGGAATGATGTGATAAGGAAAAGGACGGTTTCTTGAATTGAGGGCTGTGGAGAAGAGGCAGATTTTCTCATTTGCTACCCGATACAACGCGAAAAGACGCAAATGTTGCACGCTGGGCTTAACCCGCGCCCTGGTGTGGGTCTGAGCCACCTTCGCCCTGGTGGGGGGGGGCCAAAATGACCCCCCCGTCTAACTCGAAAACGAAGAGGGCTAGGAAGACGCGGAAAAAAGCAAACGAAAGCCCATAACAAGTACGTTCGAAAGTATTTCGGTCATTTTTTCGCTAAGGTCAATATTGAGGTCGCTAGAGGTCATCATAGGTCAAATTTCAGTGTTTTCGGTGTTGCCGGACATATTCCGCTGTAGCTCGGAAACTAGAAGAGCTAGAGAGCCGCGGAAAAAAGCAATCGATAGCTCTTTTCAAGCTCTTTCGCCAAGGTTCGTCAGATTTGACCTCAGCTCAACGGTTTGGCCTACAGAGGTCATGCAAGGTCAACTTGGCAAATTTCGTTGAAAATGTTTTTAACTATAGCATGCATTCACGAGAAAATAGAGAAACGATTCATGCACCATCGTGCTTGGCTCGTCGAGACGCGTCGAATGATATATAGTTTGACCTCGAAAGGTCATTTTGAAAATTTGACCTCAGGTCAAGGTCATGACCTTACCGAAATAGGTCATGCTGCATATCATTCGATCCGCATTGACGAGACAAACACGATAAACGTCGAACGGAGTCTCTATCTCTATTCAATAACAAGTAAGTGCAGAAAAACCGCTGGTGACCTCTGGTGACCAGGGAGATGACCTAGCGTGACCTCAGCGAGGTCACAAGCAAATGGTTTCACATGGGCTGTGATTTGCTGACCCAAGACACTTCAATAACGAAATATAGGAACAATCACGCCCGATTTAGCTGAAAAACAACTACTTTTCGATTCTCCCATTGACTTATAATGGGGAGCAGCGATGACCTGACCTGACCTTAGGTCACATTTATAAAAAATCCGAGATAGCCATTTTGTAGAGCTGGGCGACATCTTCAAGTACTGTAAATTTTACATCGATCGGATAAAAGCTGTGCCTTTGAGAGAGCTTTGAACTTTTTTAGAGGTGGTGTCAGTTTTGGTGACCTTGTGACCTGACCTGACCTGACCCGAACCCCCAAAAAAAGGACATGATGTAAAAATGTTGAATAAACAGCTATACAAAGTTTCAGGGCGCTAACTCAAGTGGTTTCTGAGTTATCGCTGAAAAACCACAGGGGGGGGGCCAAAATGGCCCCCCCCCACCAGGGCGAAGGTTAATAAGTCTAATAAAAGATAAGGGACTTCGTGAATCATGCCTAATTGACCGCGACCCAGTTATTTGCCACTGCAGGTAGGTACTAGGTAGGTAGATACTCATAAGTAAACAGAGCGTTCCACCAACCCTCGCCAGAAATTCAATCAGCAGTTGCTTATCTTAAAACGTTTGAGTGCACCTAACAACCTGTAAAAAATGACGTCCTCCCTTTCAATGGTTCGTTCGAAGACACAAAGCCAGAATCAGCCAAGCAATATCGGAATCCATTGCGCAATGTGTCGACTGTCGGATGTGCCCATCCGCATAGCATAGCACAGCACACACTGCTAAATGCAGGTACGCTCACCTACACATTAGGTATGTGAAGGACTTGATAGCTCATACACATGGAAGAAACGCATGAAATGTGATTAATAGCTGCAGTCCGATGCCTCTTCGCCAAGTTAAGACCATGCCAATCTCGGCCAGTCTGCCGCCGCGCCGGAACTGGCCGTGGTGTGACGTCATCCGGCCGGCTCGGCGCTGGGTAGTTCCACACTTAGGTAACTCGCGGCCGGGAGGCCCACCGCTTGCCGGGTTAAACATAAGCGAGGATTCATGAAACCAACAAAATATCAAGCACATTAGGATTAAAGTACCAAATACCAAGTTAGTATCGGTTTGGTATCGGTATACCAGTTGGTATCCGATTGACATCTCTAGTGAGGTCACGTGACCGACCTGACCTCATGTGGCCTTTAGGAAAATCCGAGTGATAAAAGTTGTGAGGCTCCTAATGGATACTAGGCTCTGTGAGTTTCATCTCCCTGTGAAAGCTCCTCTGGCACTGAGGGCGTTGCGAATTTCCGACATCTGATCTGAAGACAGTGCAGAGGTTCCTTTATGACGTCATAGGTCAGTGACCTGACCTGACCCGAAAATGCGGTTGAGGTCAGGTATCCTAAGTCTCATCTCTCCATCGCCAGCGTGTTCGGAAATAGGAGCTATTGCGAATAAAAAAAAAACGATGTGGGAGGGTGGCAGCCCCCCCCCTCTCCTCGGCCGGCGAGGGTTATAACACCGTACCAGCATTGCGAGCAAATCCAGGCCCCCCAGCGAGTGAGCGGGGCACGAGTTTGAAGTCAAAACACCCCACCAGCAGGGTGTTGAAACCTTAAATCTAGGACCCCAGTCCGGGGCGCGGGTTTAACTTGAATCGCTTACCTTAC